TTTTGTTTTCATTCGTTCCTCGTAATATTAATACGTTCCGGCTTCGCTAGAACAACCCCTATCTCACGGTCACTAGTCAAAAGTTGAGGCAGCTGTCATCAGATGTCGATTGGCGCTGCTTCGGTGGACAGACGCGTCGGACGAACTCGCCCTCTCGCGTATACATCCGTCAACAGCGCCGCACACGTCGCCAAGGTGTCATGTGCAGCTGCATCTAAACGAGCGATACCTTATGACTAATAGCCTTGATTACAGCGGGCTTACTATACTGCCGTAGGGCAGTGGTCCCGTGTAGACGAGGGCATCGCTTGAATGCCATCTGCCTTAACACGCAATCCTTACGCCCGTTATAGTGTTCACTACTTAATCAGGACCATCGCTATCGGGATTTTTCATGGTTCCTGATCTGCGTCGATAAAGCGGGAAACTTCTACTGTTGTTCTAGTAGTAGTGCGGCGCGACGATATTCAATAGCGCAGTGCTAGAGCAGCGAGCCACGCCGTAACAATGGCACCGACGTGCATTCTCTAAAAGCGCAAACTACTATCGCATGCATGCCATGATTATTATATTGAAAACGATGAATGCCCCGTTTTATAGAGCTCGGCCGTTTGCTCGTTGGAATCTCAGACGATCCCAGTCATTCGATTCACGTGGTACGAGAACGGTGCAAGGGCTACTCGGCTTTCTGAATCGTCGCATAGCACAGAGACTATAGCTCGGTGTATATTGGCCCTAGATGCTTCTACACAGGGGATTATTGATTAGGGCCTTAGTATGATTATTTTGCAAACTTGTGCGTGTCGCGTTATTCGTCGCAGACGAAAAGGGATTTTATCATTCGCGAGCTTATGTTATTTCTGTCAACGCGCAGCGTGTCTAACTACCTCCTTCGAGCTTTGTATGGTCATAAAAATTATAGCCGAGCGCAAACAGTTGCGCGTAAATGATTTTCCGGTGAAAGAGTGTTTGCTCTTCGTGTAGAGCTGGCGTTTTGATGCGATTCAATAGGGTTCATGGTGCAAGACACGAGGTCACTGCAGGTCGTTTTCATAGTGCGTCATTAATAGTTACCGATGGATACCAGCGTCTTGTGCTAACAACAGTAAATGCAACAAAGCACGCAACAACAATAATACACATATACGCCGCGCACACACGCACCCCGCAGCGCGCATGTTTACAAACGTACGCCGCTTTGTATGATGAAATATTTTTTTTCAAATTTCGCGCAAGAGGAATTCTATGTAGACAGAATAATTCTTATATGTGTACGCGATATAGTAAACATTTCTAGACATCAAATCTGACAAACTATATTGAAAGAGTATCACCTACAGCGGTAGATATATCACACAGGATATATTATTGATGACGCGATTTCTGCATGAAAGGTTTAGTGTGTTAGCCCATCTACCATCAACATAGGACATACATGCATTTGACTGCATCACCATCGCCACAAGGATATCTAATTCCCAGTAAAAAATATGTAAGTTGTTATCGCTATAGGTTATTGCCACCATTATAAAACAATGACATAAATTCATATTAAAAATGAGTATTTCACCACGATAAACGTGTAATCTATATATTCGCTGCATGCCAGTTCGGAGTTTACGCGCTATAGAATCATGGTCGCGTATTCGACTTTAACGTTATACGTGGAATTTCTCCCTTGCCATATAAAAACGAAGACGTTATCGCCGTTACGCTGTGCATTCCTTCGCGCGACTCTAAAGAGTGCAATTGTCGATTGCGGTCACACTCGGTCACAATCACGTCTAAAATCTACAAGAAGAACCCTTCAACGCCGACGACCATCGCTTTTAAAGTCGAACGACTCGATCGAGATGGATTAGATCGCTTCTTTCAGCCTCGAGTAGAGCGCTTTCGGCATTCTTGCCCATTTTCTTTTAAGTTCTTCCACGACGTGTAAACGTAACGAGGCTCGATCGCCATTCAGCCGGTACACAGCCGCGCACGGCTGCGCGGCGCCCCATTACGAGCGCCGGTCATTGCTGATTAGTGCCGTGGCGCGGTCGTGGGAACGAATGCGAAAGAATGCCGAGACGGACTGCGAGATAGCATCGCCAACACTTTGACAGCGGCTTGCCGTACAATAGATATCTGGCTTAGGTTGCTCGATCTTCGGCGTGTAGGAGGGCCGTGTGCGAAGCGAGACACGCTGGTAGTCGTTGATCTAATGCTGAGAGAGTCGGTGTCGCTGCTTCACACCAAGCTCGTATGCTTATACGCGCGTTTAGATTTTGAAACGGATTTATTTTGATTTAGTTTGATTGTTTTTAAAATTTCGCTGGTGGATTTTAAACTTTAAACCTTCTTTATTTTTTTTAGTTGGTTGAGTTGTTAAACTTTGAGAACCGTATGATAGTGATTGCGGGCAATCCCCGGGTAGTGGATAGAGAATGATTTGAACACGTGTCGCGCTTACTTTCGCTTATTACGCCATAAATACCATTGATGATTTCTGGCCGGATACACGCTTTGTGGACTTGAGTCTCGATATTCCGCGATTATACGTTATGTCAATCTGTAGATCAAGCGACCTATATCCGAACTGTAAACTAGCAACAGTTATATATGCGTACCTCTGCTGTCACTTTCCCACGTCGGTGAGCCGCGTTAGCCACCTGAACCTGCTTGACTACGCGCGCAGTTATGTGTATCCTGTTTACACGCACTCGCGCCGCGACGCCACGAACGCACGCACGCACCGCGCTCGCTCGCGCGCACCACACACACACACACACCACGCAACGAACGCACGCACGCGCGACCACCACACACATACACACACACACACACACACACACACACACACACACACACACACACACACACACACACACACACACACACACACACACACACACACTTATATGATTATATAGGAAAGTGCTAGAAGAAAGGGGGAAGAAAGAAGGAAGGGAGAAGGAATTAGGAAAGTAATATAAACATATAGGAAGGTGTCATGGAAAACCAAGTACTTTGATAAAATTATGTTGATAACTATAATAATTCTAGCAATAAATAATAATAATATAATACCACGAACAATTAAGATATTGCTACTGATAACGCTAATAGCACCCCAGCAGGTACCCTAGGATTTTTCAACGCTCCTATTTCCGCAACTGGACGCCGGCCATATGTAGAACGTAATAATAGGCTTCGCGGCGCTATATATATATATATATAGGTGGGAAATACGCGACCCACGTGGAGATAGCCATGACTGCATCCGATATAAAAGACCGCGCACCGAGAAAACGAAATGATGATGTAAACGCCATGTGCTGCCCCGCCTCTTCCGACCGGGGCGGTCGGGGGAAATCATAACACGCGTCTTACCTTTGTGGCGGATGCCAGGGCAGAGAGCTAGTATACATGAGGCAGCGAGACTCTGCAGTGTGCTAGCTTTGAGGTGCCACAGTACGCGAAGGTAGACATCGGAAATTATATGTTGCGAGCCGCGCCGGTGTGAAGATTGGCAGCGATTTGGCGCGAGCTTCTGCGGTAATCATTAAGTAGGAAAGGCATGTTAGGTGCACGTTTCCTCCGCGGAATGTTTTCGATTTCAAAATGCATGACCTTGAGATTTACAGGCTAAAGAATCGTCTGCCTGCTGCCGGAATACAATAAATAAATGAAAGCATAATCTGACAGCTAAAGGTGCTGTGCGAGTCTATATACGCGTACACAAGCGTTCCACACCCTGAGTAATTGGAATTGGAATTGATAATTAGAAATGGAGATAGAAATCTGAATCGTCGGTCATTTTCTTATCATTATTATTATTATTGTTATTTTATTATTATTGTTAATGCGGCTACGGTTAGTGATTACGGACCATTGGTCACAATCGTCATGCCATCGACGGCGTTGTCGTTGTTATCAGTGTGATTGTTTACCCCGTCACTCCCTCCTCCTCGCCTTCCTATACATTCTGTTTTCCTTCCATCATTGTCGCCATCCGCGCATTCCTAATTTCTTCACTTAATTTACCTTCCTCGCCCAATGCCTTCCTGCTCCCCCTCCTCCCTTCCTCCTCCTCATCATCTCTTTCCTATAATAATAATAATAATAATAATAAGAAGAAGAAGAAGAAGAAGAAGAAGAAGAACAAGAAGAACAAGAACAAGAAGAAGAAGAAGAAGAACAACAACAAGAACAAGAACAAGAAGAAGAAGAAGAAAAAAAACTTCTCATAATCATTATCATTGTCGTCGTCGTCATCGTCATCGTCATCGTCATCGGCGGCGGCGGCGTCATCATCGATGTAGTTATCGTCATTATCGCTATAGCATTGCAAACCTTGGGTTAAGCCGCATTAAAGCAATCTACTCCCATCAGCCACGATTGTCTTGTATTTTCGAGATATAACAGCTATGCTAATGTTTATCCCTATTAGCACCTAATGGTCGATACCATCTCGTAATAGATCAGAGCAGCTGTTAATAACATGCACCAAATTCATTGGAACTTTTTCGAAAGTTTTTATTCACGCGTGTTATTATGCTCCCTTGTGATCAATCATCATTGTCATTAAGCGTTTACGGTTTTTTCTCCATCAGGTGGGTTATTTCGAAATGTTGAAGCACGTTTCTACGACCAACCTGCGCCGGAAGGCTTCGCTGGATACTCTTGGATCTAGCGGTAGTAGCATAGGAAGTCGAGGATCCCGTTCGAGTCTGCAGACCGTCGGCGTTCCGAGTGATACGAGTACGACGAGCATAGCGAGCCAAGAGGACTGTGTAAGTCTGCCAACAAGGAGACGTTCATGTGATTTCTTGTGTGGCCTGCATGCAAACTGTTATATGTTGTTGTCTTCAAAATAAGCCGCTGTGTTTACTATTCGTTGATGGAGATTCAGTGTAAGCGTGTATAGTGTTGTTTGTGCCCTACACAAATAACGTTTATCATAGTACTATATACTATAATAATAGGCTTAATTGCTCACTGACATAACCTGGCTGATTGATAAGCTTCGTTTAGAATGGCAGACGTGTCAATCTGTTTCTTCTTGTTGCGTCACAATTAAAACAAGTTAAATACGCCACTGATGTGTCGCTATTGTTATTGCGTCAGTTCGAAATAATTCTGTTCGAATTATGCATTGGCAATGAACGTGTTCTTTTTATTAGTAATTTTTTTAAGCCCGGCGCACACGTGAGTTATTTTACTCAAGTTAAATGACGCATGAGTCATTTTACTCACGTGTGCGCGGATTTTTCGTTGGAAGCTAATTTGACGCACTGCGTCAGTTTACTCACGTGTGCGGCGGGATTTTCGTTGTGGAGTAATTTGACTCGGGCCGTCATTTTACTTGATTAAAAATAACTCAGTGTGCGCCGGGCTTAACAAACTGTTTCGGAGGGTCGGTTATCACAGAAAATGGACAACTTTTGAAACATCAGTTTAACAAAAGAGCCGGTCGATCGCGTGCGCGCATAACGCAGATCCATCTCATCGGCTTTCAGTTACTTTCAAGTCCGCACTTCAACGTCCACATTTCGCTCACTGCTCCCCAGCCGCGCGCACCCACCACCACCTCTCGCGCCCCTCTACCTTCGACTCATCCACGTACACCCGCACCCACAACGAACACCTCACACACGTCAGACTCCGGTCTCGCTCTACCCTCCTCCGCGTTGCGGCATAAACAAACCACGCGCGAGGGCGTCAGACTAGGAAATGATCCGCAAAACAAGTTACCTGTAGTTGTGCGTGTTATTCGTAACAAATCGCGCGCCAAGCCGAATTAAGAAAAAAAACTCCATTGCGTTTTGATTACGGCGCGGATAATCGGCTGGGCCGCCAAACGCCCGCGCCGTCGGCGCATTGCCATTATGAGCGGTTCCAAGACAACAACACGCGCATCGATAGAAAACTATGCCATTTCAAGTTTGAATGGAAGTCTGGCGATTCGTACATGCATTACCACAGTGCATACCGACGCTGGGACCAAGGCAGTCGTTATCTAGAATTCGCCGCTTGCAGTTTTTGTTTGCAAGACGTGGTCAAACAGCGTCGTGGAAGTACTGAACCGTGAACCACACGGACGCCAAACGAAAATACGATGTTACGTACGTATTGCGCACACGAGTAACAGCGTATAGTCGACATTTTACGCAGGGCTCTTGTAGTCCGTTATTACTGACCTTCTGGCTCAGAGCTTACTCGGGGAAACGGAGATTTCGTGTGATAGGTTTCTTACTTTGCTGTGTGATTCGGCCAGGCCATGATGATTCTGCAGATATGCTGGATCTCAGATGGGCCGAGATACGCTTATAAGGCTGGGCACATGGCATAATTAACTATTATTAAGCCTTTTTGTCATTGTGTTGATAGTTATATGCCCAAAGGTGAATTGTGACAACGCTCGACGCCTCAATCGTATTACATCATGACTTAGTATGATTACGCATAGCGCATGCGCTGCGCGCGCGCAGCGCCGTGTGTGGTGTGTGTGTGTGAGGTGGTGTGTGTTTTGTGTGTGCGTGGGCGTGTGCTGTGCGTCGTCGGCGTTGTGGCGTGTGGTGTGGCGTGTGCGTGTGCTGGTGCGGGTGCGTTGTGCGTGTGCGTGTGCTTGTGCCGTGTGTGTGTACGTCTGCGTGAGTGTGTGCTGTAGTGTGTCGTGTGTGGGTGTGCGGCACGTGCGTGCGTGCGTGCGTGCGTGCGTGCGCGCGTGCGCGCGAGTGTGTGTAAACAGAGTGTGTGTAAATATTATTGGTACTCATCAGCATATTGCGTCGCAGGCCTGTGGCTGAGCGGTAAGCTACGCGGGTAGAGCTACTGACGCCATAGTCCATCAATGGTTATCGAATATAGGCCTACCTATTTTTTTGCGGTAGTCATCACACGTATAAAAATTCTAGCATGAACACTCATCGTTTTTTACGCTTATTAGCCCAAACGTTAGTGAATTCATTTATCTTTATGATGCTATGTACTTTTTCGCTATCCAGGCGTAACTGTCGACCAGAGCCATAGATACAGATATCTATGTGTGCAACGCGCGCGCCCTCTCGCGCCGACGTCCGGTCTCACAGTACTACTATACGTGACGAAGCGCATTCGTAGCAACGAGATCGAGAGATTTACGACAAAAACACCGCTATTTGACATTTCCGGCGCCTATACATGGGTTTCCACGGGAGAAAAGTGGCCGCAATCATTGGCGGACATGATTGTCCTTTCGTTTGAGATAATGTCCGCAGGCTGTTTTGTAACTAGCAGACACGCATTGGCGACTACAAGCAAGACAGCACGGCTACGGGGGCTAGCCAAACACAACGGCTAGTAAAAGTTTGCGATTTGAATGCGAGCGTACGCTATGCGCATGCGACAAACCCTGGAGTGAAACTGTACTGGGCGTACATACACTGCCGGCAGAATGACATAAACGATAGATCGCATGATAACGATATATAATGATGATATGTTGTTGTTCGCATCATATCATGTCATCTGAGCCATTTCACTATTGAACATGCAATTTTTAGATTAAGATATGACACCATTCGTTACAGAAAGGCGTGTGTCGGGTTATTGTGTGTACTGCTCGTGTATGTCACATATACATCAGCGGACAGTGATCAATTGTAAAGACGCGCGTTTGTCTAAACAAAGCGGACGCGTCGTCGTATATCCCCCGATCCACGTGATTATCACGAACGATATTGATTCGTGTAAACATACACGTATCTATATTCAGATAATCCTGGTAACTAACAATACACTTTCAACAATACAGGGTGTATTATTGAACACCTTCTAACAATACACTGTGTATTGTAGTAGGTACCTATGAGCTTTCAACAATACACTGTGTATTATTGAACACCTTCTAACAATACACTGTGTATTGTAGTAGGTATCTAACAACTGTGTATTTAAATTCAATTTCATTTTCAATAAATTTAATAAAATCAATCAAATAATTTCAATAAATTCATTTAAATAAATGTCAATTTCAAGTTTACAAATTAAAAAGTATACTAATTAAAAAAGAAAAAAAGAAGAAAAGTGTATTGTTAGAAGGTGTTCAACAATAAACAGTGTATTGTTGAAAGCTCAAAGGAACCTACTACAATACACAGTGTATTGTTAGAAGGTATTCAACAATACACAGTGTATTGTTGAAAGCTCAAAGGAACCTACTACAATACACAGTGTATTGTTAGAAGGTATTCAACAATACACAGTGTATTGTTGAAAGCTCGCTAACAATACACAGTGTATTGTCAAATGCCTAAACATACAACACACTGTGTATTGTTAGTTACCAGGATTATCGGCAATATTAGTATAGTGTCGATTAACACGTCTATATTATCGCACGTTTATGAGTGGTTTGAGCACGTGCAGAACCCGTGTATCTTGAATAAACGCAAGTAATACTTATATACACCAAGTGTCGCCATTCGAGGAGCTCCTGTATGTCGAATATATTGTAGTTGGTAACTAAGTTTGTTCGGTGTTCGACAAAGCAGAGCACAGAACAAGTTGTACAGGTACACGTAAAGTCTTAATTATTATAGCTATTATTTCAATTACAAGAAACGCACTAGCAAGATTAAAAACTATGAACTCTATTTAACTGGCTCATACAACCGGAAATTCTTCCGTCCCGTAGTTTCATTTGCTATGAATTGACAGCTCCGTGAAAATTAAAACAGTAACACACACAACACACACACACACACACACACAAGCGCACGCACGCACGCGCTCCGCGCACACACAACACACACCACACACACACACACACACACACACACACGTACACACACACACACACACACACAACACACCACACACACACACACACACACACACATAGCACACACACCACACACACACACACACACACACACATATATATATATATATATTATATATATATATATTATATATATTAAATAAAATAAAGCAAAATGAAGAACATTAGAATAGAAGAAATAGCCCACCAGCTAAATAGTTGATAAATAATGATAAATCTAAACTGCATCGTGACTCAATTGCTTCATGACACATGCAACGCAGTATTTAAATGTGATTGAAAGGGACATAACACGACGTAATTTTACTCAACAATTTTATTATATAAATACCAGCCCATATTTAATTATATATGGTTAATAATCATGTATGCTCATCATAATCATGTATCATGTATCATGTATCATGTATGTTCATCATAATCATGTATCATGTATCATGTAATCATGTAATCATGTATCATGTATCATGTATGTTCATCATAATCATGTAATCATGTATAATCATGTATCTCTTTTGATAGACTCCTGGTATGTTGTATAAACACAACTTGGACACACTTTGGACGTGGTCGCTGATTTTCTTTCCAATCTCCCCTTAACGCTGTTTCTATCTGCCCCATGATTTTTTTCTGCTTTTTGTACTATTTCGAGTTCGGTGGGTGCCGTAAAGAAAACATGAAAGTGCTGCCGAGCTCAGTATTCATGTAGGGTTTAACCTCCTTTGCCGTGGACTAAGTAAGTACAGGTGCACTGGAATATCGATGCTTGTGGCGCGCATGTCACCATAAAGGGGAAAAATCTACGAAACTATGCACTTGACAGGATTTACGCTTGCCCGCCTCGCGCGTGGCTAATGCTTAAATAAAGATAGCATTGCGCCTGAAAACGTCGGCACGTTTCGATGCGGCTTTGTCGACGTTCTTTGTTCTGTCAGTTGTGAAAGTGATATTGGCACTAGAGTTTGAAACGCTGCCAAGTGTGACAGGAATGGACTGCCGGATTAGGACGCTAGTTTACCCATCAGCTAGAGAAGTTTCCTTATACAAACCGACAATGCGTCGCATTATACCTCTGCTGGTACTTGGCTTGACGCGTGTACTGATATCGTGGTTTTATCGGCGTGTGTCCGACGTAGTATCACTATATTCGCACGCAGAAAAAAAACTGTCACTGTGCCAAATACATACGAATGCCCAGTAAGCACGAGAAATTATTCCATTCATTGTGAATTCTTTATAGCTGGTCGCAATAAATTTATTGAACTCGCATAATGAAATCATTTTTTTCTACATATTTCTAGAGTGCCATTAAGGTGTACGCGCGAGCAGTGAGGTCTGACATCGAGTACAAAACCATCCTCGTTTCAAAGAGCACTACAAGCCGGGACATGGTCAGCCTCGTACTTAATAAGTGCAAGATGAAAACGAAGGACCCGAAACTGTATTACGTGACAATGGAAGTCGGACTAAAAAAACGAGGTAAATCGGATTTCCCCCCCGCTACATCCCATATAATTGTGGTGCATAGCGGAGGGAAGGTAACATTTTTTGGCCTTCATTGTATCGTCGATGCCTTTACTCATATCTAGTCCTGGAATAGCAGAGATTTATATTAGCCGAAAATGAACGAAACTTTATTATTTGTATCGAATGCAATAATTTTGTTTTGTTTTGTGTTAATACATTCCGTGAAATAATTGACCACGGTTATGAATTATCTTAACATGTTATAGATCATCTTCTACGGAACATGATTATACTAGAGGACGATGCGAGTCCATTGGTCTTGCAATCTTGCCATCCCAACGGCGGCTCTCGGTATGTAGGCTGATTCAATGACTGTTCATATTTAAGGGGAATTATAACCTTGTAACGCCATTACACATTCTGTGCGCAATGAATAAATTCATTAAAAAATAGTTCCGCGAGCTTGCTGCAAGCGTATTGAGCAAGGTATCAACAGCCAGCCCATAGACCACTGTCTTGATTATTTTCAGGTTTTATCTAAGTATGAGAAGAGGCGGGTTGGTCAAAATACACGTTGCAAACCTGATAGAAGGGGTGAGTCATTTTAATTCATTTCCTGGCTAAATATTTGAGTTGCTTATGTGTAAATCTCTTTGTTTTACTGTTTATATGCGAAGGCACGCCTAAATATAGTAAAAACATAGCCGATTAAGTACTAAATAAAATTATCGAATGATCCATAAAATCCTTACAGAGATAACGATTCAATAACTAACCATCACTACTAGGGTCGCTAGTTACTGAGCGTGGTTAGGGTTAGGGTTAGGGTCATCATAAGCAGAAGAACCATTTCTCTCGATAGCCTGCTAGCGACACCTTCCGGACGATACGGCGTATCGATCTTCTAGGTAATGAATAAATTTCAGGTACTTAAAAAAGTTAAATCCCTTCCCGTGCCTATGTGGCGCATAGGGCGGTGCCTACCCCCGTTTCCTCAACCCGAGGCCACGCAGCTGCTTTCACAGTAAATGCTACAGCGGGGGGGGGGGTTAGTTCACTGGTAGTATTCAGGTACTAGTGGGAGGTCAATCCAATAGTTCAGTATAGTCCATTGCAGCTGCAATTAGGTTAACTAAATTAACTAAAATATATCGTTTCTGCAATAGTTTTTATAGTTGTAAGAAAGTTGTTTCTGTTTTACTGTTTTTCTGTTGTTGTTTTGTATTTGTTTGAGTTTTGAGTTAATCGTTTTGAGAATGTTCTCGTTTCGCCCGTCCAAGTTTCGCCCACCGTCATGCCATTATATCCGTTTTTACGCGATGGGATCCATAAGTTCGCACGACGTTCTGCTATGACGCTTTGCAGTTATACTACAAGAGCCTACTGATATCTCAGATGACCTCTGCTCGGGAGGTTATCCGTCTATTACTGCACTGCTACAGGATCGAGGAGGATCCAGACAGATTCTCTCTCCGTGAAGTGTGCAAAATACCCGAGAATTTCTGTAAGTATCTCAAGTTAGCTCTCCTCTTTTCCCATTTCCACACAAAACGCCTACAGACGACTGACCATTTCTCGTGCAGCGATAGCAAATAAATACGAAATTATTAGTAAATGTGAAATTTATAGGACAGTTTATTGTAAAATACCTATTGTCATATAAGGTTATCTCATGGAGTATATTAGCGGTGGCGAATTAAATCTGAAAATCGACGTAAACTCAGAACATACACTCGAGATGATTGACTACAAATGTCCCTGTTGGCAAGCTCGCGACGTTCAAAAAAGAATCAAGGAGTTTGATTCTCACGACTTACTGTCAATCTACACTCAAGACATTCGAGATCACGTGAAGTCGAGCTCAACTCTTCCACATCTGCCCAATTTGTTTCTGCAGCATTTTAATCCCACTGCCAATTATTTTGGTGGTTTGGTGGCCATTAATTGGTGTTTTGTATTAATTTGTATCAATTTTATATTTGTTGTAATCAATTTGTAGTCAATTGTATCAATTTTTTGTATCGATGTATGTTTAATGCGCTGGGTCACTGCGTTACGTCACAGATGAGCGGAAGCTGATGCCTGATGATTGCCCTTTGCGGTTTCAAGAGTGCTGGGATGACGAACGACATTACGCGTTCATACTGAGACGCGAGCCGCAAGCTCGGAGACGGCGGGTGAGTAAATCTAGGCTAAGTAGAAGCCAGAGTTCAAGTTCAGGATCAGATTCGCATAGATATGCGATTGTAGACGGAATGTAAACGTTTTTTTTCTGTCGCACGTTTTGATTAAATACTATCTCTCAGTTCGTCTAGTAGTTTTAAATGGTAAATTCGAATGACGTAACTTTACGCAGGGTTTTAGATTTAAAAGTCAATGTAAATCAAAGTAGGTTAATACATATAAATATCAGTTATTACCTCCGCCAAGGGGTTGGCAGGAGGTTATGTTTTCACCGGCGTGTGTTTGTTGGTTTGTGCGTGTACAGCCTAACTGAAAAAGTTATGAACGGATTGTCATAAAATTTTCACGATAGGTCAGAAATCGCCTAACTTAGAATTGATGAGATTTTGGTGGTGATCCGGATCCAATTAATTAATTAAATTTTCAAGATAGGTAAGACATGGGGTAACTTAGAATGATTACAATTTGTGGTGATCCGGATCCAATTAATTAATTAATTAATTAAGTAACTAAATTTTTAGGATAAGTTAGAAAATGGGGTAACTTAGAATTGATTACATTTGGTGGTGATCCGATCCAATTAAATTATTTAATTAATTAATTAATTAATAAAAATTTCACAGTGCAGAGAATTGAGCTCCTTGCGCGAGGTCTGTGCTCTCCGAGTGCCTCTAGTTTCCTATAACACACACACAACACACACACACACACACACACCACACACACAACACACAGCACACACACACACACACACACACAACACACACACACACACATATATATATATTATATATTATATATATGTATCCATCTGTCTCTCCACAGAGGCGTCGGGTGCAAAGCATGATCGTACCAAGTCTGCCGCTACGTGACGGGCTAGCGACGAGCAAGGAGGAGGAGGCTGACGTCACGTGCGGCCACGCGAGCGATGGTGCCGGCGACAGACCCGCCACGCAGCGGCGGACAAAAGCGGATGATCGCTTCTCACGGGAGAGCGTTGCCTCCCGCAATACCTGCTATTTCGTATAAGCTTTCCCGGTATATAGACGTACCGACGCTCTCTTCGTGGACACGTGGCCGAAATTTTAGTTTTTAGGCAGAAATAGTGAGCCAATATTACCTACGTGAACTACGTCGATAGATGTCGGTGCCATACATATTGCAGTATCGCGAAGTCGCAATGCAACATTTGGGAACTAATGTACTACGACTTTTCTCTTTGAATGGAAGCTAAACAGATAAATATCATGCGAGTGCCATCGTTTGCCGTAGATTGCACATACATAAGGAAACTGTTACATTTTAAAGTCGCGAACAAGTAATGACTAGAATAGCTGTGGCGTACCTGAGCATACTCCTCGGCATAGATCGAGTTCTTCTCTTAAAATATTATTTATTACCGTATCTCATTTGTAAAAAAAGCCAACAATGTACAGAGAGTTATTTAAATATTATTTGTGGCATAGATTACACGTCGTTGTATATTTACTGTAATGTGTTCTGTAAACTGCTATGTATGCCGAATACGACAAACAATTAGTTTAGCCTTGCTACTATTTAACACACGATAACTCCGCGTATGACGCATGTAATGATGAGAGATACACATGGCCTGTTATAGGTTTCCTGGGTACTGTGTATGACGAATACGTTTGTTTATAAACGTCTACGTCTCAAATATTATAATACACTTATATAATTATGTCAGAATTTTGAACGACTCCAAAATATTCACGCGTAAACGAGAGAACAACACGCCTTACTTCCTCCATATTGTCTACGTAGTGCATTGTGATTTACCCGTGCTACATACTTTTAAAATTACCATGCCGAATATTAACGTACTAGGTATATCACTCTTTCAGATGAAACTCTTGTGGTGTCGATTAGTGATATACGTTAACGGGAAATCACAAGTCGAATACTCACATTGCATCTTGAATGCTCTACGGATTCGACGTATATTCATTTACAGTTAAATTAGTATTAGGAAGTAAATTGCCGGTACGATTATTTTACGTTTACTAATCTGAGAGACGAACACATGTAAGGAATCACATGAGAGGGAAAAAAAACCAGTAGACTGCAGTTAAATCGTGACCGGCATCACACCGCAATGTCCCTTTGCGAAGTGATCATGTATACGACAGTAATTGTGAGCATCCGTGAATTTATTCTCGCACAAGCTGCGTAGCCTCGTACGCCGCCTTCATCGTAACTCTGTAAGCTGTTGTAAATAGATGCCAAATTACGTGTGGATTGTAATAGCAGCTGTAGTTCTGCGCAATATTTATGTGTTTTGTGAAAGCAAGTAATTTTATCAGTTGTATCAGTGTATAATATAGAGATATCTAATCCAATATAGGCCTACACTCCTAATTTCATTCATGCGATGCGCACGCGCTGTGTGCGTATGTGTATTTGCAATTCCTGTCTCGCCTCCATATACCCAGCGAATCAGCAGAAACGCGAAAACCATGTCTCTGCTTAGTAGGCTACATACTTCAGATGATATCCAGAGAATATGCGCTAGTAAGATCGTATATATAGTAATGTGTGCTAACGGTGTGTCACATGAGAGCTGGCACGTATACCTTCTGCTGAGAATGAACAATTTAAGCAGTTCAGCTGCTTCACGTTACTGGTGATGTTGAGAAGGCGTGACCATAACGCTGTAGCCGTATAGAATCTAACTTCTTCCATGGCTAGACTTGCAACAACCATTCTGAGCAGTTTGTAGGAGAAGATTGGGGCGCGCGCACACAAACAACACACACACACACACAACACACACACCAACACACACACACACACACACACAACACATACACACACACACACACACACACACACACAACACACACACACACATATATCTATATATATATATATATACAACCACAAAAACACACACACACAGAGACACACACACCACACCAAACACACACAGACACACACACACACACACACACACACACACACACACACACACACACACAAACACACACGCACAACACACACAACACACACACACCACACAACAAACACACCACACACACAAACACACAACGAAGCAAAGGACTGAAAAATCACACGTAATTAAAGTTTACGTTCATGCCCTGGATTTAAACAACCAACCCTCAGAATTAATTTCTGCTCAGTCATGTGTCCGACGTGAGCTATTGTAATATGGTGTCAGTTGGCAGCTACACACACGCACGTCATCTGGCGTAATGACGAACCTCATTTACGCCATTGAATGCGTTAAATGCCAAATTTACTATATTGGCGAAACAAAACGCCGCCTTGCCGGATAGTTTGTTGAACACCTAAGATCTATTCGCCTCAATTTCCAAGGTTTTCCGGTTGCTGACCATTTTAACCAACCGGATCACCACATTGATGACGTGCGTGTGTGTGGCTGCCAACTGACACCATATTACAATAGCTCACGTCGACACATGACTGAGCAGAAATTAATTCTGAGGGTTGGTTGTTTAAATCCAGGGGGCATGAACGTAAACTTTAATTACGTGTGATTTTTGAGTCCTTTGCTTCGTTGTGTGTTTGTGTGTGTGTGTGTGTGTGTGTGTGTGTGTGTGTGTGTGTGTGTGTGTGTGTGTGTGTGTGTGTGTGTGTGTGTGTGTGTGTGTGTGTGTGTGTGTGTGTGTGTGTTTGTGTGTGTGTGTGTGTCTCTGTGTGTGTGTGTTTTTGTGCGTGTATATATATATATATATATGTGCGTGTTCTTTTGTCGTCCGTATTCATGGCAACGCGCGAATTGTGTGAATCATTCATTTTTGATTATCTATAACGCATTGTATTTGTTTTTGATTATTTGATTCTATTCCAATGTCTGCTGACCTGATGAAGAGATGTAATCTCGAAAGCTCGTCAATTAAACTTTAAACACCTTATACTATACCTTGACTTTGTTATATATATATATATATATATATATAAGAGAGAGAGAGCGAGAGAGAGAGAGAGAGAGAGAGAGGAGAGAGAGAGAGAGAGAGAGAGGAGAGAGGAGAATGAGAGAGAGAAGGAGAGCAACTGAGGGAGAGCAAAATAAAAACACGCACCCTTAAAAGGGCCAATCTTGTAGAGGCAAGCACACTCCAAACAGAGTCCACCTTAGAGTTCACCTCAGAGTCCACCTCAGAGTCCACTTTACAGTCCACCTTAGAGTTGACCTATATACACGTTTATCTTTGATAAACGCATGTCAGCTCAAAGAATGAGACCGGTATCTCTATTTATCTGATACCCTAAGATAAAAAATATTAGTAGTTAGTGTTAAGCAAGCAAAAAACCATGTTAATTATTAGTGTTATTATGTGTATCAAGATATCACTTTAAATTTCCCATACACGCGTGTCGTGAGGGGGTTAAAAATCGTGTCGTTAAACAATCCTTTCGTCACTGTACCAACGAGTGGCGGAAGCTTACGTGCTTCATACGAGGATATAAACGTTACATTTACACTTAATTAACTCTACTTTACTTTGCAATTGATCTCTTGTGGTAATCACGAATTTACTCCTATATTTGGTTTAGGCCTATTGCTCGAAAATTGAAGGTGTTCGTATCAGTGATCGTTTGCCGACTGGCTTGTCCGGCATTGATTCCCATAATTACTGATAAAAATTTCTGATTGTCATGATTGGCAAGTCGTGACACGAAGCTGACCTTTCACGTGGCGTTATATTACATTATCTCCTGTTTCAGAAATCGCTCAACGCAGTGAAAACCTTTGAGTTCTTGTGAGTCGTATCTCGATGTAAGCGTTTTACCCGTGGTTGTCCTGAACAGAAACGAGGACTGATGAATACTTATATAGCGTATCACGATTGGGTGGTCATGCATAGTACCAGGGTTTAATAATATAACAAATATTAACATTTGTCCAAAATTGACAAACATCGTTGGCAAACATGTTGTCAGAACTAACATTGTCAATCATTGACAAAAATTTGTCATTATTAACCCCTGATGGCCTACAGGGGGCGCTACGTGACAGACAGTGAGAGCCCACTGTTAGAGCCACGCCAAAGCAACATGGGGAAGGGGGTCATTACGCTCTATGCTTAGCCACAAGTTGCCATCGCGCTTCTCACTGTGTGAACAGTCTCAATACGCGAAACAGTCGTAAAAATATACAAAGACAAACAAATATACCAAAAAATACTAAACCCAGGTTCAGAATGTCGTGTGAAATAACGTTTTATAACCGAAAATTATATTCAATACAGGTAAAACGGCAGCAGTGTTTTGGATACGTTGTCATTGACTTCACAGTCCCTCGAATCAGCCCAGAAGGTTGAGCCATAGTAAAAAATCAAGCTAGNTTTTCTTTCGTAAATTGATTTGTAATGCATTTAAATAATTTAGATACTTGTAAATTGATTTGTAAACGATGTTAATAAATTGTGTGCTTTTATGAATTGATTTTCAAACAGTAGACTGGTTTGTAGATACCATGATTAATGGTAGACTTTTGTAATTTGCTAATATGTAGAAATATAATTGATTTGTATTTTCGTAAATGATTTGAAAATGTGGTGTAAATTAATTTAGAATCTTGTAATTGAATTCCTAACATGTTAATAATTGTAAACTATAACTTATGTTTCGTATAATAAGATTCGTTACTTTCTCGTTAATTATAATTTTCAACTTTGTAAATTGATTAATAGCTTGTAAAATTTGATTTGGGATTCTAGGCTTTAAATCTTTAGAAATGATTTTTGAGGGTAATGGCTTGCCAATAACCAGGGTGAGCAAACCGATCAGTATTATAGGCCGTAGATATAGGATAATAGGATTATTGCTCCTGATATAATGCTACGAGTTCACGAAATCATTGTCACATTATTTATATGATATTACCAATCGTGGGGTTATATCAAGCGTTCCATTGAAATCAACTACGAGGCCAAACACGATCCGGAATCTCCCGGTTTGGAACTATATTTCGCCGATCTTTAATTGCAGTATTCACGGCAGGCTCATGGTACTCTGAGCATACCACGATCGATCGTACATCTACTGCGTGATTAGAAATGGAGGCAGCAGACGATTGGACAACAAACACGACTAGATTCGCACCGCATGGCCATCCAGCAATGTTCGTGCGCACAAGGCAAGAAGCAAGCCTCTTTGTGATAATCTACATGTGCGCATAATACTTAATACTATCATTCTCTTTTTCTCTTCTTCTCTCTCTTCTCTCTTCGCTCTCTTCTCTCGCTCTCTCTGCTCGGCTCTCCTGTCTCTCTTTGTTTCTCGTTCTCCCTACTCTTTTCTCTCGCCCTTCTCTCTCTCTCTTCGTCTCTCTCTTCTCTCTTCTTATATATATAATAATATATATATATAGTATATATATATATTATGTGTGTGTGTGGGTGTGTGTGTGTGTGTGTGTGTGTGTTGTGTGTGTGTGTGTGTTTGTGTGTTGTATGTGTGTGTGTGCGTGTGGGTTGTGTGATGTGTGTGGTGTGTGTGTGTGTTGTGTGCGATGGAGAGAGAGAGGAGAGAGTACGCAAACGATCAAGCCATACTACGTTCGTTTAACACGTGACAACACAAGCCCACAACCACAAGCCACACACACACACACACACACCAAACCACACACACACACACAACACACCACACACAAACACACACACACACACACACACACACAACCACACACACAGTAATATATATTATATATATATATATATATATGATGAGTGAGAGAGGAGAGCAACTGAGTGGCAGCAAATAAAAACACGCACCCTTTACAGAGTGTGCTTGCCCTACAGAATTGGCCCTTACAGTACACCTATAGAAGTTGACCTATCATAACACGTTTATCTTGATAAAGCGCACATGTCAGCTCAAAGAATGATGACCGGTATCTCTATTTTATCTGATAACCCTAGATAAAATAATAAGTAGTTCAGGTGTTAGCAAGCAAAATAACATTTAGTTAATTATAGTGTTATTATGATGTATCAAGATATCACTTTAAATTTTTCATACACGCTTGTCGTGAGGGGGTTAAAAATCGTGTCGTTAAACATTCCTTTCGTCACTGTACCAACGAGTGACGGAAGCTTACGTGCTTTATACGAGAATATAAACGCTCCATTTACACTTAATTAACTCTACTTTACTTTGCAATTGATCTCTTGTGCTAATCACGAATTCATTCCTATATTGGTTTAGGCCTATTGCTAGAAAATGTAAGGTGTTCGTATCAATGATCTTTTGCCGACTGGCTTGTCCGGCATTGATTCCCATAATTACTGATGAAAATTTCTGATTGTCATGATTGGCACGTCGTGACACGAAGCTGACCTTTCACGTGGCGTTATATTACATTATCTCCTGTTTCAGAAATCGCTCAACGCAGTGAAAACCTTTGAGTTCTTGTGAGTCGTATCTCGATGTAAGCCCAGCGAGAACCCGCGGGATATTACCCGCGGTTGTCCTGAACAGAAACGAGGACTGATGAATACTTATATAGCGTATCACGATTGGTGGTCATGCATAGTACCAGGGTTTAATAATGACAAATATTAACATTTGTCCAAAATTGACAAACATCGTTGACAAACATCGTTGGCAAACATGTTGTCAAAACTAACATTGTCAATCATTGACAAAAATTTGTCATTATTAACCCCTGATAGCCTACAGGGGGCGCTACATGACAGACAGTGAGAGCCACGCCAAAACGACATGGGGAAGGGAGTTCATTACGCTCTATGCTTAGCTTATGCTATGCTTCAAGCCACAAGTTTCACGCTCACAAGTTCACATCACAATCTCACATCACAAGTTCTCACAGTTTCACGCCACAAGTTCACGCTCTATGCTTTTAGCCACAAGTTTCCTTCGCGCTTCTCACTGTGTGAACAGTCTCAATACGCGAAACAGTCGTAAAAATATACAAAGACAGACAAATATACAAAAAAAGACTAAACCCAGGTTCAGAATGTCGTGTGAAATAACGTTTTATAACCGAAAATTATATTCAATACAGGTAAAACGGCAGCAGTGTTTTGGATACGTTGTCATTGACTTCACAGTCCCTCGAATCAGCCCAGAAGGTTGAGCCATAGTAAAAAATCAAGTTAGTGGTACGAGACATTATCATATATATATATATATATATGAGAAATAGAGAGAGAGAGAGCAGTGATTTCACTTGAGCTCAGCAGACTTATGAAAAACAGCAAAGACGCTGGATTATTTTATAGAGACGTGTTTTCGTTTATCCCGCGTTTATTCAATAGTCGCATTGGTTTTGATATTAGCACTCTATTACCCTTCAATAGTTTGTACTATTGCCTCATACATCATGGATTGACTTTGCGGTAATTCTACGATGATACATCATTGTCCTCGTTGCTGGTCGGTTGAGAGACCTTTGCGATTGTGCCCAGGGGTTCCGTTCAGAATCACCTCCTCACCTATGAGAACGTAACCACATAGAATTACCTCTATACCATAATGATCACGTTTTTAGTCAATGTTTCTGTCAGTTGCACATTTTCAGATTCCCTAATTTCTAGGCAATTTGAATTAAACTAATTGATACTAGAAATATATACGCATTATATGTTACAACACCCTCGGTATAGGTAGTAACACCACATCGTACTAGCTGCCCATAGTATATGTAACGACCGCTAGGTTCTACTACAGCCGATCTGATTAATTCAGAAATTGTCCTTGAATGCGTAATAATTACTGCAGTAGTTATCTACCATTTTGATTAATTTTAAAGAGAAACTTCATTTAGTTTTTAACTAGTGCAGCAACCTAACATTTAAAACATAACCTCAGCCTCGATAAATTTTAATATTTGTATTACAATTGTTTCTACCAAATTTTATTATATACCTCTCTTTAAAGACATAACGTCGCGTTTCATTCGCTGAAACAATGCACGGGAGTCCATGTTCTCCTTGCACCACAGGCTCGCTAGCAGATAACTACAAGGCGTGGGCATTCCATTCATCGATAGGATAATCTTGGAAATCTTTACGGTAATGTTCCTGTTGCAGGCATTACTAGCCGCCGGCAATGGCAATATATATGATATATATTCATTTGTCGGGCTTCGCATAATCGAGGCGTCTCGGATATGATGACCGTACATGCCTTTGCAGAACAACCGCAATCCTACAAACATATATAAAATATACAAATATTCACATAATAGTGTTGCATACATACTGGGTGTTGACAAGTTCCTCATGAAAACGTTATTACATATATAGGCCGGAGCTTGTCTCTCTACGTTGTGATAGAAGGCCTCCAATCTCTGTGCACAGAGACCGGTACACGGCACGAGGGAAGTAATGGTGACCAACCGATGTCCGTGTACGGCAACTATTTAATGATCTCTCCTTGCTATTACAAACACGAACGATACAGTAAAGTCTTTAGGAATGCTTGACATCCCGGGTTGCAATCTAAATACGGATGTTCAATATATATTGCGCAAACATACATCTTACATGTATTCGTTAAGCCAACGAGACACTACAAAAAGTACATTAATGCCAAATTAGCCCAGTCACGTGGCTCTCGCTACACCTAATGATGCATTAGCCGTGCGCAAACTCCCTCCCGCCTAGCAAAAACTTTCAGAAAGAAGTCTTCAGCACTCCGGTCAGGACGCGGCGAAAAACGCCCGCCCCGTCGCGCTGACGCATAGTAGTCGAGGAGGCTTATTGCACATTTATACTGCAAATTTGAAAGAACATTTTGTGGGTATCAAATCTGGGTTCAATATGTTCCTCAAACTACGAATTTTTTGAAGGAGCCCAAAATTTGACCGCCGGAAACACCCTCCCCCCGCCTCTATGGCCCGGTAAAGGGACATCGAAACTGTTATTTTGCCATACTCTTTGTCCTTCTTTGGTCGATTTGAACAAAGATTAGAGCTCGAATTAGGGTTTTTAAAGCATGCCAAGGAACTCGATTGGCGTAGTTTTGAGAACCTGAGATTCGTCATCTGCTCGACGGAGAGTAACTCGTTCCTGGTCCGGTTCACACTCGCGGAGCCCGAAAATGGGTATTTCACATATCGTCAGCTATTTTCTCCAAAAAGTTAGAGTCAATTTTGGGTTGTTGAGGTCAAAGATTTATAGATGCACATGATACACTTTCAGACTCCTGGAAATTCGGTTTCACTATGGTAGTAGTGACACGTAGTCAAATGCTGAGCAGAACTCGACAGTCCGCATCGTGCCTCGTCAGTTGTTACACTACTACAGCCCACAACTGACTCGCATATATCATCCTGTCCATGCTTCAAATTAGTGATTTGTGCAGCTTCCTGGTGGCAAGTCAGAGAAGAAAAGGGGCAACATGACATGTGTTATTAGCTGAATTTGGCATGATGTCAGCTTGATGTCACGATCTCGAGGTTGGTCTTGGCTGCGTCGGCCATGGTCGCATTTGACTGTGAATTGTCTCTGATAAGTTTCCATCCAGACATCTTAAGAGGAGGGCTGGGGATGCTGAGTGAGGGGTGTTACCCCACACCCCATGCCTGCTGATTAGGCCCGCTGCGAGTACCGCCAGTCTGAAGGAATCAATGAAGGTGGGAGGTCCCTTAACTCATGGTCAGAACCTGAGGCCCTGTGGTAAACAGTAGAACGCAGTTTCATTGAGATCTTGTAACAGCAGCGTCTTTGTAGTATACATAGCAGCACAAAATCCCAAGTATTCTTTTCTGTGCATGAGGATACAACTTGTTCTGCTGGGTACCAGCTTAGTTGTTCTAAAGGTGTCTTCTGCAGTTCGTCGCTCATCGAGCACTTATTCCATTGAGAACACACATGTTCTTGGTCAGCTTGTAGAAAGATCAGTTAGAATCGGCGGCCAGTGAAGCAGTGGAAGAATGGCAAGGCTAGCAGGACGTCTTTCCTAGTGACTCCATAACAAACATATGACATGAATGTTCCTTCCTGTTCTTTTCGCAGATTAAAATCAAACATGAAGCTCAAAGTCAGGTCGATCTGAGAGGACTTGGGGCATAAATGGGTCGAGAAAATGACATGACCGCTGAATCAACTGTCCGTACAGTCAATCAGCGACTAAACCTACATGCCAACATGTTCAATTAATGGCACACCATTCCTGTTGTCCGACCTCTTCTAGTGTTTCCATCTATTTCATGTATATAGTCCTTTCAACAGCAATCGTTGTTGAACATTTCAAGACGCATTAGTGACATGCAGAAATGATTTTCTTCCAGGACCAAGGAGGATGGGTACACGAGCTTCCGCAATTAGGGCATATAAAGTCTGTCTTGTTCTGATCATCTGTTGAGAAGGATTTAGACATATGCTTCGGCGACAGTGCTATCACCAGTCAGTACCTTGCTTGTCTCTGAATCATTTGAAGCTTCCGTTCGCGAGCGGGTGGGGCCTTGATGCTTAACTGCTATACTGGTCTGCAGCAATATCGATTCGAGTGCGCCCAAGCGTGTGGTCAGTGTTCTCATCTTCTGCGAAGGGCCCTGGAGACAAATTTATTGAAGGTTGACCTCTGGAAGACTAGCACGCCGCGCTCGGCATGATACTAAAGTCAACAACGAGCAGCTTTCACACTTTGTTGACTGGTGTAAACGGCGTTGTCGGGTGGATGTCAGCTCCAAAACTGTGACTTTGAACTGATGATAAGGAATGCCATCCTTTTGATGACCGTCACTCAGAACCGGTTATCTCCGGCCTCAAAAAGTTTCTTGTGTTCGATTCACGGTTTTTGCAAGGCATCTCTCAATTTGTGAACAGGTGGTGAGCTTGATCGAGGGTTCTAAAATCCGACATCATCGCGGCAAGTTGGAAGCTTCGAATTTTGTTACCTTTGATTCGAAATTCTCACTTTCCTAGGCGATTAGTGCGGAGAATCGTCTACTGTCACTCAATGTGACACGCTTCGCATCAATCGGACATGACTGGGGAAGCATAGGAGAANATAAACACATCGTTAAAATACGATTAATGTAATGCAAATTTTGTCAGCAATTATCATAATGATTAAAAATATAGGTAACAGAATAAATAGGGAACGCACAGGCGTTGGATAACCAGTCATGATTTCAGGGAAGTGCATTGCCATCAGCATTGGCATGAGTTTTCTTCTTCGAATGGCCCTGCAATTAAACAATAAAATTATAACGCAAAGAAAGTTTTGGTTTGTATTTGATGGCTATTCTTGCGATGTCACAGTACGTTATGTATAGTTAAATGAGCACAGACAACAGGTGAAACACACACACACACACACACACACACACACACACACACACACACACACACACACACACACACACACACACACACACACACACACACACACACACACACACACACACACGTATACACACAGCATATTTATCACACCTATCAAGTGTGTGTGCGTGCGTGCGTGCGTGCGTGCCTGCGCGCGCGTCTAACACAATCTACACTATGCTACCATACACACTACATTACGACACGCACGTCGCACTATACTACACTGTACTGCTCCGCACCACATAGCAATGCTACACCTCACAATAACACACCACTACACGCCACACCCCACTACTATATGAGCATCTACACCGCACCACACGATTATACTACACTAGAAAACAACACACGATGTCACGCCACGCCACGCCACGCCACACTACGCCACAATACGCCATGCCATGTTATAATAGACTCTATCACAGAACGTATAAACAGTACTAACTTGTTGATGAGCCTAGCGGACCGAGTTTCAATTATTTTGCCGATTTCATTATGCCGCAAAAAGAATATCAACTCTTCCTCGGGTAGACGACCCTAATTAAGTATAGTATAAAATAGGTATATAGCTAGCTATATTATTACTAGATTGCAATAACCATCGTGATATTGTTTAACGGATACATTATCGTGTATATTAGTATATCAATTGAATTAACAGTTCTTCAAACGCTTAATTCTGATATTAGCAATCATACTTTTGCAATGGCCCACTTATTTAATCAATTTAGATTTTCTGTGGTTTAGGATATGCGTGAAAACTTAGTTATACTAATAAGCAACTATATATGTATTACTATAGTAATGGTTATTAAACACAAATGAAACATCAGACATGGAAATCGTAATAACAAAAACTTGCCTCGTGTACAAGCAGCTCAGCCAGTCTAGTGTATCCTTGTCGCAAGAAGTCCATTACTTTGATTGCGATGCCTTTACCATTTTCTCTCTGACCGACCGCTGTTCTTGCAATTGGCAAGATGTATCGCAACATTTTTCTGTACATAATATTATTTGTTAAACCGTAGCATTCGCGTGTCATACTTAATATTCACTTATTTATATAGTAAGCATAAGTTCCTTGTTTATGCTATTGTGTTGTACCAGATGTTGAAAATTTACGAATTTAATTGTAAATTTTATACAGCGATAATGCTTTACAGATCTGAGCTATGACAGATAAATTCAAACATGTGTTCTACAGTCATTCTAACAGTATGCCCTATATATATATATATGTATATATATATGTATATATATATATATATACTATACATTACATACTTTTTGATGGCGCCAACTGGAACCTTTATGTTTTCTATGGATTCTTCCTCTGTCGTGTGCGTTTTTGTTTTCCTCATCTCGTTTGGTGATTTTGTCATACCCTAGGTTAATCGTATGATGTGTGAAATTTAAATAATATTATTATATAATAGTAATTAATACATCTATGTTATTAGATTTGATGTGAATACTGCGGTTACAATTCAATTGGTTTACATCCCTATTTCTCTTAAGGGCTGCTCGGAAATACACCTGCTATACCTGGCGTTTAATAAGAAGTTTATAATCCATGTTTAATATAATCCACGTTTGCATGCAAGTTGGAATAGCATTCTAAATTACCTGAATTGTTTTGACAACTTTTTCCGGTTGCATTCTCCATGGCTTTTCCCATAGTTCAGACTATTGAAAAATAGAGCTTAATTAGGCACATGACAGATAGGAAAATCGAATAGAAAAATCGATAGGAAAATAGAATTCGATAGGAAAATCGAACACCCCAACCCTGTATAAGTTTGCTAGTAACGCATTTCTCAGTCGTCGCAGAGATGACTTTTAGTCCACGGAGTCCCAATATTATTAAGGAAATTATAGGCCTACTCTGTTGGCAATATGTTATCCTAATGCAAACATTCTATACTACGACGGAAACAAAGATATGAAGCCAACTGTGGCACATTACGTCATTCTTTTCGAACAATACATTTATAAGACTTGTTGTGAAATTTCTTGCACTAAGGTACTATCATGACTGCAGTTATACCAAGCTTACCTCGCGCACGCATCTGTGTCCATGCGTCTCTATAAATTTTGCAAACTCATTCTTCAGCTCTCCGCTGTCATCTGTCTGTAGCCACTGGGCTGCCTCCTTTGCCGACAATGACTGAAAGAACTCGGCTTTACCGCTGTCAATCACCGTTAGCGCGATTTTCCTGAGAGCATGTGGTACGTCAGCACTCAGTACGTCTGGACAGGTTGATAGAAGGCTGGCAACTTCAGACATTACCATGGCGTGATCTGAAATACGTATTTGAACCAATTTGTTTTTCGTGTAGTGATATTTCTATTCAGGAAAGGTATATGTCATTGGTTTAGAACATTGAACATTGAACATGGCGCACTGACCTAGAGTCATTAACAGCATTAAAGTTTGCGCGTTCGTTTGTTTTATTCGGTGGAAAACTACACCTCACACGGAGATAGCACTTTCTAGCCTTGCCCCTGATTCACTGGAATAAATCTCCGTCTATTCATAAACTGCCAGGGACTTAACTTACTTACAACTTACCTTCTCTCCGACCAGTGTCCAAAATGCGTTTGATTATGCCACTGGCCATGGAAGATGCCATTGAAGCTTGCATGTGGCAGTACCAGGCCTGGTTTATTGAAATTAATAACACTCGTAGTAGGATTACGTGTAATTAAATGTCTGTGTGTTAATTTTATATGGTGCATTGTGTAGATTTACGTAATTTAAATGGCACAGTATATATGAACGGGAGCTAGAGCTAGCTCTCCACTTCCGAATTACAATTACCGAATGCCCCTCCCCCTGGTGCGTGTGAGATATGTGACAATTGAATTAATCAAGAGAGTCCCATCAAAGTGGCGCTTACAACGTTGTTAATATTACAATGACAATTTCATTTGGCGAACGGAATGATTCCATGCGACAATTAAATTCTTCACGGCGCAAAATAAAAACACGATTGACGAAGATGAGCATTAGGATACATACCTCGCTACTCGCCTGGATGAGTTTATCAAGTTGTTGATATAGCATTCGTGTGTCTGTGGTACTGAAATCTGTGTTCGCCGTTTTGACCACGGTTTTACCTTGCTGAATGTAGTGCTTCACTCTAAGCGCAGACTATAAGGAAGAATTAGTGTACTGCAGATACGGCATATATACCATCATATTATATGGCGGTATTCGATTTTCACTGTTTAACATCTACTTGGGCTATATGAAAAACAAGGTAATGACAGGACGGCAAGGCTATATTCAAATATAACCGTTTGGCTGGTGATGTACTTACTATGTTCATGTTCAAAAATCCCATGATCTTGTGGTACAGCGAGACACGAATATTTCTGAAACGCTTATCGACTATGTCCATATGTTCATTTCCCAATGGTTTTCCAAACAGCATGATCTCAAATTCCTCCTTTTGGCTTTGCGTGCCGATTAATGTCGTGTATTCATTGATGTAATACAGACCCTACAAAAAAGGATTTGGGTAAATGGTGACTTCAGCGTAATCACATTAATAGTGAAGCACTTTATCATTTTGGTGGAATATCTAGAAGCTAATGACACATCGCCAGGAAGGCCTATTAAATGTTCTTCTGACCTGGTAAAATAATTATTTTATAATTATTTTTCAAAAAAATACATTCAGTGTTAAATTTACATCCATAACTGGTCTATAAATAACTGTTTATTATTTTCACACAGGTAAAAAACTGGGGTTGTGTGTAGCTTAGATTAGACTGATACCTAATTTTCTTTCGTCTACTCAGACTATATGACTTGTTTCGAAGAGTTACACTCACGCTGAACATGTTAATAACGAAGTGTTTGCAAAAGCTACATCCTCCTACATCTGCGTAGGTGTTTGGGGTTGCTTCGCTGCCCATTATTCCAACTTTCAAGATCTATAAGAAGTAAATGCAAACATGCAACCGCTATATATGCGTGCGTGTGTGCGTGCGCGCGGGTGTGTGTTTGTGCGTGTTTGTGCGTGTGCGCGTGTGTGTGCGCGCCTGTGCGTAGCCTGTACATTTCATGTAGTCTTGTTTCAAGAAACAAATTGCAGCAAGTACGTTCGCAGAGTACTCCATACCTGCCCGAGACCAGCAAAGGTGGAAATAAATGCATCGCAGGTGAGCGGTGTCATAGCCTGCGGCATCATTTCTCTGCAAGTAAAGCACACGATGTAACAATCAAACATTTGAGTATTATAGGATCATGACAGCGAAACACATCATCTATAATCAATAAATAATTGCCGAACATACTGTAAAAGCTGTTACAAGCGTATTTTACCCAGTGTTAGCATTTGTGAACATCTCACTGTCAATCAGCAACGGGCCGTCGTCTTCATGAATGAGTTCAAACTCAGACTCGATATCGAGGGACGTGATTGGTCGAGCTTGAAGCAAGTAGATTCGACCTTCTTTCACTGCAAACTCGATGTCTCGAGCATCTGAGAACGATTTCTCAACCTATGTGAGTGAAACGGTACCGATGAATGAAATTATAGAAAATATAGGCTCTCTAAAATGTCATGTTGGTTCAAAGGTATACGTATGTATGATGATATTTCAGTGATTTCCAGTTTTTAAGTATTATCTTAAGTACATCAAACAGGCAGACAAACAAATACGCGCGCACCCACCCACGCACGCTCGAACGCACGTTCGAACACACACCCACACACACACGCACGCACGCACGCACGCACGCACGCACGCACGCACGCGCGCGCACCCACATATATTTCCCACGTTATAAATAGTTATTATTAATTTTACTTGTATGCCAATGTTCCCTAGTTCCAGTGAAATATCGTCTGGTAGGCAACAACCAGTTTTGCCGTCTGACTCCATCTCCACCAATCCGCCTGACTCTGTACCGACAAGCAAGATTATCGGCGAGCGGAGAGTGCTACTATTATAGTTTCTGGGTTCAAAATTTTTAAATCATGGGGAGGTATGACTAACATCGTTGCCTATACATATATATATAGGTCATTATTAGTGATTAAAACACACATGTTTATATTTACCTTTATATTTATTCATTCATTTATATATGTATATATTTCACATATCCTATATCACATATAAGATATCATATTCATGTTAACTAGGCCTTCCACCCATTAAGTATAATTTCACAAACCGCTGATAACCATCTTTATCTTCTTGCTTCCAAGAATCTTTTCCTTGACGATGAGCTTATCGTTGAAGCCTCTCTGCAGATAGATTGTGTCAGGTTCCGTCACTCCCGACACAACTGCCTACGTGGAAGCAAGTGTTTATAATTAAGATACACCCGTGGGTAATCCTAGCGTAATGAGATATGAGAACAGAATATTGGTGTAATAACTTCTATATACGTCTATCCAAATGACGGCAATTACATTTTTGTCCTGGCGCTGGGTGAAAACTCAACTATTATACAAGATGTTTTTCATGAGGAAAATATATTACGAACAGTATTGTTAATTTTTCTTGATCGTTAGTGTATGTGTTATAGATTAATTAGGCATATTATATATATACATATATATATATATATATATATATATGTATATGTATATATATATGTGTATGTTTATATATAAATTTATATTTGTTTATTTATTTATCTGTTTGTTTATACTTATGTGTGTACGTGCGTACGCGGCAACACACGCACGCACGTGTAGCAAGGAACACACGGGAAGAGGCGCGTATATAACAGATAAACAGCGGCTACATCCGAGCCCGCCCGTGATGATAATAAACCTCGATAGCGACACCTAGGTGCGACAAGAAGGAAGAAGCGATGGTGGAGGAACACCTGTCTTCGAAGTCGCACCGTGAGAAACGTGTCACTGTGTCGCGCGTTTATGATCCCAATTACTAACAGCCTTAAAAGACATGAACCTGGCTGTCCTCTCAACTAACCCTTGTTTCCCTCTCTTGTTTCTATCCGCGTCTCTAACTCTCGATTGTACCGTTTGTATCGATTGCAGAATTTCTGTCATGTCTGAGAATAAACGCCCGTGTGGTACGTTACGAACATAGTTATTGTTTGCCTCTGTTGGTTTGAGTTACACCCTTTCCTACACCCACGCCTAGGCTTAGAGCGCCAGTAGATCCACGCCGCTCCTGCGCTCCTCCGTTACACTGGTACCGTGACCAGGATTCGAACCTGGGTTATTGCCTCCTCTGCTCCTCCGTTACACACGCACGCACGCACGCACGCACGCACGCACGCACGCACGAACGCACACACACGTACATATATCATGTACACAGAAATGGCACGCACTCGTAACGTCGATCGCCGTTGACAGCCAAGATAATTTTCTTCGGCCGATCTCACACGCTCAAACTGGACAGGGGGTAACTGACATGAACCCAGTACCAAAATGGAGCACGCATCCCAAAACAGTTGGTCTTATATATATATATTACACTATATATTTATGACACATCTTGTAGATTTAATGAGGTTGAATGCACAAGCCACATTTATTTGTCTCTATCTTATCCTTCTCTCTATCTCTGTGTGCAATCACTCACCTCTCCAATCCCATATGATACGTTGATGGTCATGATTCAGT